AATCACCACTATTAAAACCACGGGAAAACAACCGATCAGTAGATTCCCGAGGAGGAGCATTCATTTCTTCATCAGAGCTCACTAAAGTAGCATCTTCAGGCTCGTTGACAGGAACTGAACTTGGAGGAGGTGTGGCTCCATCGTCTAAAATAACGCGCCTCCTAACTCGAGGTCTACGAATTAAAGAACCTTCCTTTGGTTCTTCCTGTTCTCTGAGCCACGGGCACCATCAACTTTCCTTTTTGAAGAAGAGCTCAGAATTCTCTTGAGCAAGACTAACCGTAAGTCTCGCAGATGAGACAGAAGCGAGACTAACCCCACACAATAGCAAATCCTAGCAAAAGAAAAAGAGTTACGGTGAAAAACTCTTAAATAAGCAAAAGAGAAAAGGAGGAAGACTAAACAAAAAGAAGTACCGTGTGTTTTAACTTTCCACCCAAATCTCTGAGAAAGATACTTCCAAGATCTTCTCTCCATAGCAGCACAGACAGTAACTTTCCTACCCAAGCACGAAAGTCAGGGATCTCTTCAAAAACTTCCATAGTTGCTGAAAAGGTAGGCAAAAGAATACATGAGAATCAATTTTTTTTAAAGGAAAAAAGGCGGGATACAAATACTTACGTGCAAAATTCCACTTTTCTGGAAAAGGCGTGTTTTCTTTACCCACCAAACCACTAGTGGGAGCAGCAACGAAGCGAGCATACCAGCCTCGATCTCTATCATCTTCAGGACTAACTAATACTCTCTTACTTTTGGCCACAAGGGAAAAAACTCCATCACAAAATAGTTTGGGAGAGTAGAGATGGAGTAAGTGACGAAAAGTAAAAGGCATTGAAGCCAAGTTTGATAAATAATGGAGGCATGCAACAACTCTCCAAACAATAGGACCAATTTGTCCCAAACACACATTGAAGTAACGACAGAACTCAATGATTACTGGGTCAATAGGAGGTATAAAACCTAAGGTAAAAGGATATGTATAAACGAAGGAATAGCCAGTTTGGTATGAAGTTATTCTTTGGTTAGAACCAGAGATTAAAATTGGGAAGTCAGGTTTCCAATTACATTCTATTCAAACCAGAGCAAGAAGACCAGTGGTAATAAGAGTTGGGTAACGATCAGCACGATCAAGGGAAGCAGCCATAGAAGAGGCTTGATTCTTCATGGATTCACTTTCAGTCACAAAGGACAGCTTCTGAAGGACAATCTCATCAACAGTAGGCTCACGAAGGGCTTCGGTTAAATCTTTATCTTTAGAAGAGGACCTTGGGGTTGTAGAAGCCCTGGGTCTAGAAGAAGATGGTTTGATAGCACTACCTTGAGAGGAGGAACCACGGTTAGAAATTGAACCGAGACTATGTAACCTACCACCTCTTCTACTCCTAACAGGGGAAGTTGAAGGGGAAAGTTCATCAACAATTACTACTTTGCGAGGATCAGGGTTTGATGGAGCCATGATTAACTAGAGAAATACAAAAAGAGATGCAGAATGATGTAAGACAAGAAGACTAAGAAGGAAAGGCTTTAGAAAATCGGAAAAAGGGGGTTAAGTATTTATAGGAAGACACGACTATAGAGGTCATTATGAAGCGTTGTAATGGAACTGTCACTTCGTGACTGATGCGCTTGCAGGAAAACCCTAAAAACGTTAAAGAACTGAAGAACCAATTGTTAAAAGCCACGTGGCATGATCATTTAATAAAAGTGATGAATGTCACATCGGTTCAGAAAAGGATATGATTATATTCGAAAACGGCGGCAGAGAATTCCCGCCATAAAAACTTTTCACTTCCCCGAATATTCAATAGAGAATATTCAAGAAAGTGAGGGGGCTATCTATATTGGCGGTGAAAAGAGCTACACATGGAATATTAGAATGCTGACATGGCATAACACGTAAGAGCAATATTATAGCAACACGTGACAGTATTATTTGATAGAATAAGAAAAGGCACGAGAGGGAAACACCCACGAGATAGTACCAAGCCTAACAGCTGGCAAAGACTGAATCAAGATAGTAAAAAGGGAAGATTCATGAACCTTCAATTAATGAGGAGGGGAATCAGAATCGTTACAGAATCTCGTGGACAGTTACGATTACCAATTGTAACGGATCATTAATACCATTAAAGCTCGTAATTATTTTGCCATATATGGAAAGAAACGTTATATGTGAAAACCTCTATATAAGAGGGGAGAATTTCACTTGTAAGGACATCTGAGACAATATTGGAATATACTCACTTCACTCTTCCGCTTTTCTAAAAATTCTCTACATTGACTTTGCAATCAATAATTTCTTTATTTATTCTTGTTATTTTCCTTTGATACCATTGAGAAAGTGAGGCAAAACTTGGTTATTAGAAGCCCGTTTTCTTCTAAAATTAATCTTTGACCGAAAGATATATTTTTGGTTAAACAAATATACTGGTAGGGGGCGTGACAAATTTCCTTCACTCCATTACAAATAGGGTTGTTCAAAAACCAACCGTAATCGTTTACTGAACCGCAAAAATAGCTTATTGGCTTATTGGTATCGGATCGGGATAATGGTTTAAAATTTTGTAATTAACGGCTTAACAGTTTGGGAGCGGGTTATTCAATTTTTTTATGGGATAAGTCGTTAACCCGTTAAGAATTTTTGTTTTTATACTTTTACCCCAATGGTCTTCTGCATGATTTGTCGGAGATTCGTTGCCATTGTCTTTTGAATCAAATATTCAGTTGGTCATTCTTCCCTACTTGTTCCACTCATATTTTTATTCATAATATCCATGCATGATAAGAGGAAGCAGCTGATAGTCACATTTCTCAGGTTTGCGTGATCTTTCATATTCATGTAAAGGCATAGAACATGTAAGGTTTAAAAAAAAATCAACATATTTGCTTAGCTAGATAGCAGCAACTTCATTTGAAGTCTGAAGTCAGACAAAATGACAAATTCTCTCGTTCTCAACTTCTCTTTTATTGTCTATTTGGTTTAGCTGATAAATCGCTCGATAATAAGTAATTCGAAACCAATCCGCACGATGTCTTATTGGATGGCTAGCAGATTAACCTTTATAAATCAATATCTGATAATTAAGTTGAACCGTTAAGCGTAAATAACCGCCTGATCCGCCCGATAAACACCCCTAGTTACAAAGAGTTTTTTCTATAAATATACAACAAAAAGAAAGCGATACTCTAGTGGTAATTTTTTCTGAATCTTCTTTGTATGAATTTTTGGTTCGTTAACTATCTAAGGACTAAATTGAAAGTGGTCGAGTGTTTTAATTTCTCCTTTTTTTTTCACTTTCTTCTTTACTAGTCCATTTTTTTAACTTCTTCTTACACCATTATTTGTAATAGTTATTGTATGGGTCAAAATTTACCTTTAGGCGAAATGGTATTAGTAAAACATTCCTGGGACGTCACGTGTCGAAGTAATCTAATTATCAGCAACAGCCGAGGTCAAAGAGTCAGCAAAAACTGAAGTCGAGGAGTTGTCATCAAGGCCGAGGTCGAGCGCCCTTGACAGAGTTATAATGGCTAGGACATCAAAGAGAATATTCTAGTGGATATTCTCTGCCCTTGTACTGTTAGAATTTTTTAGGAACATGTTCCCTATAAATATAAAGAGACACAATGATATGGGACATGTGATATTCATTTATAAAAATACACTTTGACTTTAGAGAGAGAATCAAATTTCATTGCAAGCATACAAACATCACTTTTTCATTAAGATTCTTTCTATACTTTTCCTCCAGATCCGAGAATAACTTTGATATTCAAAGGATTGTCCATCACTCATCATTGTCAGAAAGAACATTCACCGATTCCATCCTTTCTTGGGTGACTCATTCATTCTATTTACTTAAATGACATTTCATCAATATGTAATGCTACATTATTGCCTTTGATTTCTTGAATATTGATTGTATGTTGCTGCTACTTTCAAGATATACCTACGTAGTATTTATTGCACTTTTGAGAGCTCCATCTTGAGGATATTATTTTTAGCTAAGATTAACCCTCATATATATTAATTTAATTAGTTAAACCAAGATCTATATCTTTTGGTCGAATAGTTTGGCACCGTCTGTGGCAATTTCTTAGTTAAACTTTTAGTTTCCTCTAGATCTACAATTAGCGTAAGTCACTAACATCAAAAAACCTCGAGATCTCCTTTTTTTGTGCATACAATACCCTACATGGCAAGTAACCAAGGAGAAAGGACAAAAATAACAAGTGACTTCCCAACCAACCTCATGAATGTCATCAACAAAAAGTTGTGAACCAGTAGGTGAGGACGTGATGCCCAATGCGTCCCCTAGGCGAGGAAGGCCGCCTCCCCTACACTGCAACGTAACAATACCTAGTGGAAAATAGGCCTCCACGTCCGCAAAAGAAGGGACGCCCCCAGCTGCGAAAAAACTCCTCGGAGCATGGTTGAATGACACACTGTTGAGCATCCGCAACAGACCCGTTCCAGGAACGACTACAGAAACCACAAGAGCTTGCATGATACAACAAACGGACGAGCAGTGCGACCGACCAAGCCCTCCAACGAAAGGTATAAATCACAATATTACTAACAGTGCAGGTGATAGTGCCCTCGTTGCCATTCTAAAGAGGATGGAAGAAATAGAGAATGAAAACAAAGCACTCTGAGATCAGATGAAAGAACACCAAAAACGAGTTAATAAGATACCGGGCGCCCCTAAGTTGTTACCAAAAAGGGACGCCGTAGGTTCGTAAAGCAACCGTATAGCGGTAATGCAGCCCCGCACGCCATACCAAAGACCTTCAAGATGCCGCCCTACCTCAGGATATACGATGGGACGACCGATTTTGAGGATCATGTGACCCATTATGTCACCACCGTGAAAGGCAACGACCTTGCCAAGGAATATGTGTCCTCTATTGTGTTGAAGAAGTTTGGCGAAACCCTTACGGGAGAAGCATTGACATGGTACTCATAGTTGCCAACCCACTCCATAAATACTTTCGAGGAAATGGCCGATAAGTTCGTAACTGCACATGCCGGAGCCAAAAAGGTCGAAGCAAGAGTAAACGACATATTCGTTGTCAAGCAGTCCATAGGAGAGGGATTAAGGGACTTCCTCGCTCGATTCAACAGAGTAAGGATGGATCTAGTGAACGTATCCGAAGGGATTGCAGTCGCAGCTTTCTAGAACGGGTTGAGCAGAGATATTTAAAGAGCCACAAGAAAACTGTTGAGCCGATTGATGAAATATCCCCCAAAAACTTGGGACGAAATCCATAATGCATATTGCGCCGAGGTCCGTGCAGATGAAGACGACCTCAACGAACCAACTCACGGATTAACCTCAGAACAAACCGAATCTAGAAAAGAACGAAGAGATAAAGCTAGAAGGGATTACCCGGCTCCACGACCCAACAGGGAGCGGCACGAACCATACGTCAAGGCGACCGCCGCGCCTTCCCCCCGCTATGAAGAAAGTCTATCCCGGCCAAGGACTGGGACTCACCGGAACGGAAGAGGTGTTCTCCCTTTATTGTTTGCTCACAATTTTTTTTATCACCGACAAAAAGTCTACGCTCTTAAAAAGCTCGGAACAAAGGAGAAGTGGTCGTCGAAGATGAGATCAGAACCAAATACTAGAAAACCCGACGCCCTCTGTGAGTTGCAGCAGGAACATGGGCACAAAACAGAAGATGGCATCGCCCTCAGACAAGAGGTCGTAAACATGCTGCAATAGGGCACCTCAAAGAGCTGTTAAGCGACAAGGGGAGAACCAACTTCGCCAGAGGACACGAACACCAAGGCCCGCCAAAAACACCATCACCAGCTCGTACAATCAACATGATCAGCGGCTGCAACGACGATGCCTCTATCAACCGCGTGAAGTTCACCACCACTCACAAGCTCAAGCCGTCAATCACCCGTGAACGGTGCGACGAACTCGATGAAAGTATCATCTTCGATGAGTCGGATGTCGATGGTTTGAATTTCCCTCATAATGATTCTCTTGTTATCACTTTATGCATTTTAGATACCGATCTTAAACGTATCATGGTGGACGATAGAAGTGGCGTATGTATTATCTATCCCCGATTCCTTACCCAAATGAGACTCGAGGACAAGAAAGTGTCGTGCTGTATCATGCTAACCAGTTTTAATAATGCAGTTGAGCGGACGTCAGGGGAAATTGCACTGCCCGTCTTGGCTGGCGGCATAATACTGGAGACAACATTCCACATAATGGATCAGGCCACCGCATACAACGCCATAATGGGACAACCATGGAAGCATCCCATGCGAGTCATCCCCTCCAGCCTATACCAAATAATTAAATTCCCATATTCAGCATATGCATAGAACAAGGCATGTCCTGAGAATGCTACTGTATTTCCCTAGACAGCACGGCAACCCAACAGAAAAAAGACAAGGAAAAAGAGAAATAGCAATCAACAGGGCTGAGGTCGACCCAAGGAGAGATGGGAGATGCCATCGTGGATCCCAAAATGGTCGAGGCAGCCGACTCGGCCATAGAAGACATCGACCCCGATCAATTGGACCCCAACGACCATAACAAAATGGCTTATATCAGCTGCAAACTCCAGGAACCAGGTAAATTCAGTAAATTCTCAATAACTAATGCAGATTTGTTTGCCTTCAGCCATGCAGATATGCCGGGCATCCCAAGGGAAATTGCCACACACAAATTGAACGTCGAACCACTTCAACCCCCTGTTAGACAGGTTAGGCATAAATTCAATGCCGCCATTAACGATGCAGTTTGGAAGGAAGTGGAAAAATTATTAGAGAACGGTTCCATCAGGGAGTCAAAATACCCTAAGTGGATCGCCCAACGTAGTGTTGGTAAAAAGGAAAAAGGGGAAATGGCGGATGTGCATGGACTTCACAAACTTAAACAAAGCACGTCCAAAGGATTCGTTCCCATTACCTCACATGACCAACTCATCGACTCAATAGCGAGGCACGAGCTGTTAAGTTTATGGACGCTTACTCAGGCTATAACCAAATTCTTATGGAGGAAGAAGACCAGGAGAAGACCACGTCATCACCCACCAAGGAACGTATTATTATAGGGTCATGCTGTTTGGGATGAAGAACGCGGGGGCTACATATCAAAGATTGGTGACAAAGATGTTCAAAGACCAGCTCGGTACGACCATGAAAGTATATAGATGACATGTTAGTCAAGTCCATAAAGGTAGAGGACCATATCGACCATTTACAGGAAGATTTCGACATACTAAGACGGTACGAGATGAAGCTAAACCCAGAGAAGTGCGCATTCGGCGTAGCCTCAGGAAAGGTCTTGGGGTTTTTAGTGTCACAACGTGGGATTGAGGTCAACCCAGACCAGATGAAAGCTATCGAAGGGATACCCGAGCTCTTGACTACCATGAAACAAGTCCAAAGGTTGACCGGTCGATTGCCGCCCTATCAAGATTCATATTGCATTTATATGATAGATGTCATTAATTCTTCGGCGTGCTCAAAAAAGGACAACGGCCTCTAATGGACCCACGAGTGCATCCAGGGTCTGCGAGAACTGAAGGCGTACCTATGATCACCACCCCTACTCTCAAAACCTGAACTGGAAAGCGCTCCTCGTATATCTAGCTGTCTTCGAAGTAGCGGTAAGTGCAGTCCTGATCTGCGAAAACAAAGGTACGCAATCTCCCATATATTACATTAGCAAAATATCATCGACGCCGAGACGAGGTACCTGCACCTCGAAAAATTGGCTTTGGCATTGGTCGCAGCTTCAAGAAAGCTTAGACCCTATTTCCAGTGCCACCCCATCTCGATCGTCACAACCTTTCCCCCTAAGAAGCATTTGCATAAACTCGAACTATCGGGGAGGCTGGACAAGTGGGCCATCGAGCTAAGCAAGCACGACATCACATACCAGCCACGAACGGCGATAATGTCGCAGGTGCTCACTGACTTCGTCGCCGATTTCAGCGCAAAAATAGTGCCTGAAGTCGAGAGGGAAGCCGTCCAAGCTTCCCTCCAAACGCAAGACCTTTGGGTCCTATACACCAATGGAAGATCTAATGCATCAGGATTTGGATTAGGACTCGTACTCGAGGTCCGTACAGGCAAAGTAATTCACCAGTCCGTAAGGTGCCCGAATATAACTAACAATGAGGCCGAGAATCAGGCCATAACTGTGGGTTGAGGCTAGCATTCAAGTATAGGGCGAAACAGTTGAAACTCCGCTGTGATTCCCAGCTCGTAGTCAACCAAGTCACAAGGAATTTCCAAATTAAGGAACAAAGGTTGCAAAAATACTAGACCGAAATCTGCAAGTTATTGCCTAATTTCGACGAATGCTAGCTCGATCAGATCCCACATGCGCAGAATGCCGAAGCACAAGACCTCGCCAAGCTGGCCGCAACTACCAAAAGCATCACGATCGGAGATCGAAGCATAGTCCATCTCCTCAATTCATCACTAGACCAAATCAAGGTAAAAACCATAAACTTAACTTGGGACTGACGCAATCGTATTATCTCATATTTGCAGGACGGAAAACTCTCAGGCGACAATAAAGAAGCCAAGGAACTAAGAATGCAAGCGGCCAGATACAGTCTCCTTCATAGCGACCTATATAAGAGGATTTACGGCGGCCCTTTGGAGAAATTTTTGGGCCGGAACCAAACCCAGCGTGTCCTCGAAGAAGTCCATGAAGTCTATTGTGGTTCTCACTCCGGCAATCGAGCACTAGTCAGATGCCTTATATGGGCGGGATACTATTGGCCCACCACAAAAAACAACGTCGCAGACTTTGTGAGAAAATGTGAACAGTGACAAGAATACGCCTGAATTATTCACCAAGCAGGCGAACACCCCCACTCAGTCACCTCCCCTTGGTCGTTCATCAAATGAAGGATGGCCCCCTCCCAACAGGGCGAGGAAATGTATGATTCCTTCTAGTTTTAACTGACTATTTCCCTAAATGGGTGGAAGCAGGAGCATTCACCCAAATATGGGAACAGGAGGTAATCACCTTTATATGGAGAAACATCATCTGTTGATTCGGCCCTACCCAAAGAAATCAGTTGTGAAACCAGATCCTAGTTCATAGGAAAGAAAACCACCGAGTTCTTCGAGAAATGGAAAACTCTCCCCCATATCACCCAGCGGGTAACGGGCAAGCAGAATCTTCCAGTAAGTCCATACTAAACATCCTGAAGAAAAAGCTCGAAGACGCCAAGGGATTGTGGCTCGAAATACTACCAAAAGTATTATAGGCCTACCGAACAACTCCAAAGAAGAGCATTGGAGAGACACCCTACTCTTTGGTCTATGAGACCGAGGCAGTAATACTGGTCTAGGTCGGAGAACCCAGCCTAAGGTACTCCTATGAAAGCGGCACGAGTAATGATGAGAGTAGAAGGCAGGAACTCGATGAAATCGACGAACGAAGAGATATGACGTACATAAGAATGGTCGCCCAAAAACAACAAGCAGAACGCTATTACAACAAGAAAGCAAAGGTCTGGTCGCTTATAGTCGGGGACTACGTATTGAAATCCAAAACTCAAGCGAGCAAAGACCCCGGGGAAGGCAAGCTGGAAACAAACTGGTATGGTCTGTGCAAAATCACAGCCAAAGCAAACAAGGGTTCATTCCAACTAGAGACAATAGAAAGAAAGCAACTACCAAACAACTGGAACATCAGCCACCTCAAATACTTCAACTTCTGAGAGAAAAAGTGTTCCCCAAGTCGTACTCTTTTTCCCTCACATGAGTTTTCTCCCATTTGGGTTTTCGCAGGGAGGTTTTTAATGAGGCGACGAAGGGAACACTTCAGGTCAAAGTACGCGAGGGTAGGACCATTGTTACTATTTCATTGCTTGACTTCTCAATACTCTCCAAGTCAAACAATGAAGGGACTAGGTAGAACAAGACTAGGAGTGGAATACCATCCAACACCTAAAATTTATAATTTTCTCCAAGTATGTAAACGAAGGAACAATGTCAAAGAAATAAGAAACATACGTTTATCAAAACAATCATTTTCGTACTAAGGTTATGTTCGACCTCGCTCGAACAAACACCTACTAGCCCTCGGTCGCGATTAAATGAAAGGTTAGGTTCGACTAAGCTCGAACAAACACCCACCGGCCCTCGGCCGCGACTTAACGAAAGGTTATGTTCGACTAAGCTCGAACAAACACCTACCGGCCCTCGGCCGTGATTTAACGAAAGGTTATGTTTGACTAAGCTCGAACAAACACCTACCGGACCTCGGCCGCGATTTGGCAAAAGGTTATGTTCGACTAAGCTCGAATAAACACCCACCGGCCCTCAGTCGCGACTTAACAAAAGGTTATGTTCAACTTAGCTCGAACAAAAACCAATCAGCCCTCGGCCGTGACTTAATGAAAGGTTATGTTTGACTAAGCTCGAACAAACACCTACCAACCCTCGACCGCGACTTAATGAAAGGTTATGTTTTACTAAGCTTGAACAAACACTAACCGGCCCTCGGCCAGGATCTAGCGAAAGGTTACATTCAACCTCGTTAAAACAAACACCTATTGGCCCTCGGCCACATCTAAACAAAGAAATGCACGCGACCAATGTATATTGGGCTCCAAGGCCACGACCAACTAAAAGATAACAACTATAAGAAGGAAGCAAAACAAGCAAACAACGAAAGCAAAAAATATATACAAGTACACAAAAAAAACTGCATGAATGGAATAAGATGCAACGAACAACTTTGATATTTCACACAAATTTACAAAGGCTCGCGAAGATGCCGGCAAAAATACACAGAAATTCATAAAGAAAACTACCGATCATCACCATTACGGCCTCCAGCGCCCTCGTCAGCTCGATCTTCAACGGCATCACCACCTTGACTACCAACATCTTTACCATCTTGGCCTCTAGTGCCCTCGCCATCCTCGACCGGAGGGTATACGGAATCATACAAGGCCTCTTCCTCGAGATAATCTATATCATCTTCGCCGCCCTCATCTTCCTCACCAGGGCGAGGAGTAGCAGGATCATAGAATTCGAGCCTCGTGAGCTTTGGCATGAGCACCCTTAAAGTCTGCAGCAAAAAATGGAGCCCTCTACGTGCAACTTCCGTAGCACATCTAGCCGAGCTTCGGAGTGAATCCATTCCTCGTACAAATCACAAGGAATGTTGGGAAGGTTAGAAGTCGCAGATGAAGAGGGCCGATCAAGTAGTTTGACCTTCTCGGCCTCTAAAGTAGTTTGACCTTCTCTTTCTCCAACTCCCGAATCCTTTCATGGAGCCACTTTTCCTTAAGCCTTACCATTGTTAAATCATTTTCTCGCTCAGAACGGAGAGTCTGGATCAC